GCGTGACTGGCGAGGTTCGGGGTGCTCTTAGGCAAAAACTCACACCCGGCGATTTCTGTTTATAAACCTAGTCTCTGAATTCTGATCAGCTTTGACCTAGCTTTGACCTCCGTGCAGTACCTACCCAAGTTGACCCTTACCCTAATACAGCGTACTCATGCAGCGTTGGTCATACAGCGTAGATAAGCGTGACGAAAACGTTGATACCAAAACCGGAGCCGCGCCACAACTGTTGAATAGTTCCCGGCAAAAAGGAACATTCTTTTTGGATCTATGACGATCTCGGAGGTCAACGTGCGGCCTGAGATCCCCATTGTGAACTGTATGTATGTGCTCCCTGGTCCCTTAGACACGCTTGTTATTTGGGTCGAAGCTCCAGCTCAATTAGGGGCGAAAAGGTGACAAAAGTCGCACCTGCTCCATACTCTTGACTGGGACCTGTACCTATGTACAGAAAACGGAAAACAACATCCGGCGTGGTTTAGGCTCTTTCGGTGCTTGTCATTAGCTTTGATGACTCATGTCCGGTTAGCAGTTTTACCTCTGACGGCATTCGAGGATGAGCCTGGTCAGTATTTACCTACCAAGATTATCTTCCGTTATACTTGTATAAAAATTTTGGTTTCTATAAATGTGTCGATTCTACATACTTATTCCATTCCCGATATCATAAATGCACGTAGCGCCATCTGTTGCCAATTTGCGTGCTCGTCAAGGAATAAATGCTATTCGAGGCGCAACCAGATGCTAATGAGGACTACAAACATGGATGAGATAACACATCCATGATAAGATAACACATTCATCCATTATTGTCTCATCCATGCTATAAACCCTCGCCGGCACAGGGGGCAACCCCCCTAAGGTTTTTCGCAAATAACTCGCGTAAAAAGTGGCCGATCGCGACGGAATTTTCAGTACCTACTCTCGCAATGATCAATTTTACACGTACCCTGAAAATTTCATGACCCTGACCAAAATGACCTTTCACCTGTGACCTACTTTCCGAGACCATGTTTGGCCGGAATCGCGATTCGGCGTATGTCGGCTCGCATTAGCCGCGCGTTTGCAAGCTTTTCGTGGTTTCAAACGTTCAAACATGTGATTTGATGTTGCTCCCATGCATTAGGGTGGATGTCAAGGTCACCTGAAGGTCAGGTCAGGTCATTGACCTTTGGTGACCTTGGTTCACTTTTTCGAGTTTTACATGTTTTAGGCTAGTTTTTGGAGCTAATTTCGAATTTAGCAACCATTTAAACATTTACGAAGTAGTTTTGGTGCCTTCGTAACATGTTATGAAGCTGTCAGAGGCTGTTGAAACGTATTACGAATACTCGTCACGACCACTACCGGTTGACCTGACCTGACCTGACCAGACCTGGTCTAAATGCCGAAAATCTCTGATCAAAACTAACACGATATTCGTGATCAGCACCCCGGAAAACCCCATAGCAGCCAAACTTTACGATTTTCTAACAGGTCCCGATTTTCCCGATTTTCGGGTCATTGACCAACCTGGAAGGTCACCCGATGACCTACGACCTTAAAATTGGATAGCATCGGCTTCCTCTCGTGACGGGCAACACGCTCGTTTTTTACGCGAAGCTCTAGCTCAATCAGGGGCCAAACGCGAGGGGGGGGGGTCGTACATACCAACTCGTACCCGGTCGTACCCTTGTGCCGTCGAAGGACGCAAAATAGCCTGTGCCAGCGAGGGTTAATTTGCCAACGGGTTAGTCCTTCATATCCACGACAGAAAAATGTCGTGCCAGTATTTAATGTTTGAAGTTACCCTGTCACGACGGACAGGCGTGACGAATCGAAACTCTCTTATTGGTCAAAGTCAATGACTTCTAAAGCCTAAAGCCAAAGCCTTCATTGTAACATACAACCGCGGTCAGCACATGTGTTACTGAATATTGTTTGCATCAAGTATGGGTATGATTCTCCGTGGATAATAGACGAGCCAACATGTTAGCGTGGTTCATTTCAGCACTTATAGCTGCTCAGTGTCGAACACACGGTGCAAACAGACACTGTCCGCCGTTCAGCCTGATAATTGTTACTTAGGACACAGGTCCTAAGTCGACCCTTAGCGATATGGAATAACACACGAGCAAATTACTGCCAAAAGTAGCCCGTCGGTAGCAGACCGAGCTAAACAAACGAGCTCCGAACGCAGAGCGTTTTGCCAGGAATGCCATACATAAAGCAATGTACAAACAAAGGTGGTCGGGCTAGTCAGCTGGTGCACGGCGCCAATTGCAGAAGTCACACTTCCTTCACGTGATCCTTTGCTGAATGAAAAAGTATTTGACCTTCCTGTGACGTCATAGGTTCAAGACAAATGTATAAGGAGTTTTCTGTGGTTACATATCCCGCGCCCCGTAGGGCTACCGGCGGACCCTACCACCCGTAGGGGGGGGGGGGGCGTTTCGCCCCCCCCCCCTAAGATCTCGGAAAGTTACCGGCCGATTTTCAAAATTCAAACGGCGTTCGATAGCCCCACCCGGGAACTACCTTGTGACCAAATTTCATTGACCTAGGTCAAACCGATGACGTCACAGGTCAGGTCAAAGGTCAGATTTTCACCGTTCACAGGCAATTCAAGAAATGTGCTGTGAAAGCGAGTAGATTGGTAATTTATTGAAAACCATCGATGGTACATTGTTCGTCAAACACATACTTTGCTATCTGAGATCACTGATACCAGGTCAGGTCACAGCGAGGTCAGTTCACCGGGGGTCACAATATGAATGTGTCGTGTGATACATGTTTTATGGTCCATTTTACATGACAAATGCGATTATGTGGGTTAGGCAGCCTTTGGGGCCAGCCTAGGTCACGTTTTTGTGAAGGTCAGGTCAAGGTCAGGTCAAATTAGTTCAAATTTCAAAATTGATATTTTTGCATAAAATGGGTATCGATTCCATGCAGCTCGTCACGGGGAGTCTAATGGTGGTCTTCGTTTTGCTCTACGAGTTCTAGAATTGCCAACAATTGAGTTTGAAAATTTGACGTCATCATTTTTGAACAGTTTTTTCGCTATAACTTGGCCAAAAAACGAGGTATCGATCTGAAACTTGGTATGTAGATAGAAGACGGTAGGCACTATCACAAATATTCCGGTTTTTTTCGAAACTCAAAAAACTTTTTGGATTTTTTGGCGAATATATCCAAAAAAATGCTTTTTTTATTTTTGGGGGTCAAAACTCAAAAATTTCAAAAATTCGAGATAGCAGTTTTCTAGCCCTGTCAATTCTACACCTTTTATGTTTTGATCATTTTTCTGTATCTTCAAAGCTGTAGTCCTGACAGGTCTTCTTGCGAAGGTCTTTTTTCGGTCGAAAATGACAGAACATGACGTCACTCTGACGTCATTTGTGGCCAACCTATCATAGCCTCTGGAAAATTTTTTGGTCACAATGTGTAAAATTGATGCCCGGAGGGGTCCTGAAAGTTTGATGGCGATATCTTCAGCCGTTTAGGAGATATCGACCGAAAAGGACAGGGGGGCCGTTTCGGCCCCCCTACGGGGCGCGGGATATATATGACATGTCTTCATAAATACTCGAATATTCAAAATTTAACATACCTTTCATTACGATTCACGAAAGTGTTTTCTGAGTGGTTGAGACTGACCTCTGTTGTGACGTCACAGGTCATCATCCACTCAGGTTCCTATCCACATGCCAGATCTATCATAGGCATCATATTCAGACTCATTTTGAAAATTTGATTTCATTTTTATGACAGACTTCTCGCCATTAAATTAAACTGATTTGACCTTGTTTGAGGGTGGCGTCACAGGTCAAATATCAAGGTCATCGATATCCTTTCTTGTTCATCTCGATGAGCTCTTTTGAATGCCGTTTGAATTTTTCCGATCCGGCTATTGGTTCCGGAGATACGACGGGAGGCCCTTTGCCCCCCCCCCCCCACAGGACGTGGAACCTGCCAGACCTCAACGGGGCGCGGGTTAATAATGATCATGATAACACCAATGCTAATGCTGGACAATAACATATCAGCACTGCAAGTGTTCTACGGGGCTGAATAAGCACGAGCTAGTGTATTTTCATCGACTGCTGATACTTTTTTGTTTTGGTTGATGGAATTCTGGATAGTTTTAGGTTAGGTGATTCTGAATTGGTTTTCACAGCGCAACCGTTTCATTTGTACCCGACGAAGCATAATTTACATAAATATCATTGCGGAAAAGGCGACAACAAATGAGGCCCTTCGTAGTTCGTACATAGTTATCACATGAAATAATGTTCAAAATACATAGTTTTGGGAAGTCAACAAGATATATCAAAGGATTCATGCAACAGGAGAATCTATTTTCTGGAAAATGCAGCCTATTTATCTACATATTCATGCTGAAAGTAATGCTTTCGCTGACCTTGTGCTCTTTAGCTGTCTTTTGTTCCATTCACCGTGCCGATAATCCATTGAGTGTGCCAGGTACGATACACCTTATCACGTCAATTGTGGAGTATTGTGCTCCGAGCACGAAGAGAAAGCTGCCTCGCCAATTTAACAATGCCCTAGACTACACAAAAGTGCACCAGTATCCTATTTGCTGTGTACGGTTTACCTGTGATATCTACCGCTGTGTCAAAGTGGTCATCACAAGGTCAGAGCGCGCCTCCCGGTCAGCCGCCCAGCAGTTCAGGAAAACACAGACAGACAGACAGACAGACAGACAGACAGACAGACAGACAGACAGACAGACAGACAGACAGACAGACAGAGGGGCAGGCCGACCGGCGGGGCTCGCTGGCAACAGGAGGAGAGCAGGAGCTGCGGAAAGTGGCCATGCTCGGAGGAAACTCCGCCGATGTTCGGAGCCGAGCGGCGTCCCGACTCCGAGCTGCCGCATTTTTACCGCGGCCGGTGGTCAGAATGGTCCGCAGGTCCGGTCGCCGGGCTGGTCTCGGACCAGGAAACAATATAAGGCGGCGCAGAGTGGCGGCGTCATCAGTCACTGACCGCGGGCAGCCATGAGAACGGTGAGTGTCTGTCCCGCAGGACAGTGTCGGCAGCTGCAGGCACCAGCCGCCGGGAGCGCGGAGCCGTGGTGGGGCACCGCGGACAGCTCACGGCAGCCGGCTGGGAGCGGAGAGAGACTGCTGGACGGTGGTGGTGGGACCGCAGGCGCGAGACGCTGCGACAGAGCGGGTGCTGGTGAAGAGGATACCAGGCCTGGGTGTGGTAGCCAGGGTGCCAGGCTTGGGTGTACGGCGCTGGTAGCCAGGGTGCCAGGCTTGGGTGTGCGGCGCTGTTGAGATGTGGTGGCAGATATCTGAAGACGGTGACTCTAACGGCTTAGTGGTGACGCTGGTGGAGACCTGGTGATGGCCACTTCCCGGTAGGACAGCCATTTATCTGGCACGTTCTGTAAACTGCTGCAATTGATTTACACATGCTTCAGATATAGCAAAGCTTATAAACTAGTACCTACAATGCACAGTGCTTGCTTTATCAAAGAAGTATAAGGCTTCAGTGCCTCTCCCGTAGTCTTATTTTATTTCAAGATATGCAAATTGGCTGAAGCATTGGCTATGAATATTTTTTAAATTTAAATGATATCAACACTTCATGTTATTCAAATTGCAAAGAAGTCCTGAACACAACAAAAACTTACTTTTGAAATTTTCAGTCTTTTCGAAAAAGGTTCATTTTTACACGTTGTGTACTAGGCATTTACCTACCTGTTCAACACTTCATGAAAGACAATTTGTTTTCCGTTTACTGTCCATGCAGTTTTGTTTGCGCTAAAATGGCTTAATGTTCCTAGTTGTACATTCCTAGTGAGTTATCCAGTTGTTTCCCTAAGGCGGCATTTCATGGAGCCGGAATCACTCTTAGCATCCTTATGGGGAAGAGATGCTTTAAATTAAGGAAGGGAAGGGATGAGCATTACCTTTAAAAATGATCACTGATCAGTTTTCTATCTATCAAATAACGTGTAGAAATTATTTCAATTCTAAAAGGATATGTAGCTTAGAAAGCTTAACGTCGTTCGTCTTGAAGTACTAAATGGCAGGCTGGATAGAAACAACGAATGGATATAAGTTTAATTCAAAGATAATAAAATCAAAACAACTTTTCAAAACGTGAGATAACTGCATTTCAGCAAAATACAGGAGCCAAATGGGGTTTCATGACTAGAAAAGGTAGCGACTAAGACGCTTTATTGACGGTAGCCAAGCATCACAAAAAAACTTTTATATTTTTCTTCGGAGCGGAGGAAAAGGCTGAGCGCACTACTCCCTAGCAGAGGAGCCCCAAGAGAGTGTGTGCATTGGTAACCCGCTGACTACTTGAGGATTATCAAATGACAGATGTGACATATAAGTGCGTGTATGGCCTAAACTTTTGATTTCATTTTAAAACGGATAAAATCGCAAGAAATTACCCAACGTTTCGCATTTATTGCTTTGTCATGGCTGTTAGAGTACGATTATTGGAATACAATCGTACTCTAACACCCATGACTAAGCAATAGATGCGAAACGTTGGGTAATTTCTTGCGTTTTTATCAGGCCATACATGCACTTGTATGTCACCGCACCGTTGACCACTGTTGACTTTCTGCTGCTGCTCCTTGTGGTGTCTGTTTTTTTATTGTTCTAGCCTACCTCATATTCGTGTCCTTAGCTCGCTGTCTTCTGCGTTGACCGGTCAGTACACTTATTCGTGACCTCCAGCTCTGACCTTAGTCATTCCTATCTCCGCAGCTTGATCAACCCTGCTGCGCTGACCATGTCGAGTTCTAGCCTTTGCCTCCTCCGTCCACAGCTCGCTGCCCTACTGTGCTGACCTCTGACCTCTGACCACTGACCTCTGACCTCTGACCTCTGACCTCTGACCTCTGAACTCTGACCTCTGACCTCTGACATCTGACCGCTGACCCCTCCGTCCGCAGCTCGCTGCCCTGCTGCTGCTGCTGGCGGCCTCCGCGCAGGCGCGGACCGCCTTCCGCGGGTACGCCAGTCAGGCACTGGACAGCAGCGATGACTCTCTGGCCGGATCCAGCTGGGACGATGCCGACTCGGCGCCGGGAAAGGTGGACGACTCGTCCTCGTCCGACTGGGACAGCTCGGCCAACTCACTGAGCGACGACCTGGGCACCTCGTCCGACGACGGCTACTCGAGCTCCCAGGACGTCAGCGGAGCCGACTACGGCTCGTTCGACGATGGCGGCGACTGGAGTCAGAAGACATCCTACGACGACGATTACAAATACTCGCAGTACAGCACAAGCGGCACGGACGACGTGACTGACAACGACAGCGACCAGAATGGTGGCTACGATGGACAGGATGACTATAGTAGCAGCAGCTACGACGGACAGGACGACAGCAGCAGCGACGACTATTACAAGGGATATGATAGCCAGGACGATTATGGAAATGATGACTACTCTAAGGGATCCGATAGTCAGGATGACTATGGAAACGACGACTACTACAAGGGATCCGATAGCCAGGATGACTACAGCAACGATGATTACAACAAGGGATACGACAGCCAGGATGATAATGGCAACAATGACTATGACAAGGGATACGATAGTCAAGATGATAATGGCAACGATGACTACTACAAGGGATACGACAGCAAAGATGACACTGGCAACGATGACTACGACAAGGGATACGATAGCCAGGATGACAATGGCAACGATGACTACTACAAGAATCAAGACGACAATGGCAGTGATAATTACTACAAGGGATACGATAGTCAAGATGATAATGGAAACAATGACTACTACAAGGGATACGATAGCCAAGATGACACTGGCAACGATGACAACTACAAGGGATACGATAGCCAGGATGACAATGGCAACGATGACTATTACAAGGGATATGATAGCCAGGATAACAGTGGCAACGATGACTACGACAAGGAATACGATAGTCAGGATGACAATGGCAATGATGACTACTATAAGGGATACGATAGCCAAGATGTCAACGGCAACGATGACTACTACAAGGGATACGATAACCAGGACGACAATGGCAATGATGACTACTACAAGGGATATGATAGCCAGGATGACAATGGCAACGACGACTACGACAAGGGATACGATAGCCAGGACGACAATGGCAATGATGATTATTACAAGGGATACGATAGTCAGGATGACAACGGCAACGATGACTACTACAAGGGATATGATAGTCAGGATGATAATGGAAACGATGACTACTACAAGGGATACGATAGCCAAGATGATAACGGCAACGATGACTACGACAAGGGATACGATAGCCAAGATGACAACGGTAACGATGACTACTACAAGGGATACGATAGTCAGGATGATAATGGAAACGATGACTACTACAAGGGATACGATAGCCAAGATGATAACGGCAACGATGACTACGACAAGGGATACGATAGTCAAGATGACAACGGTAACGATGACTACTACAAGGGATACGATAGCCAGGACGACACTGGCAACGATGACTACTACAAGGGATATGATAGCCAGGATGACACTGGCAACGATGACTACTACAAGGGATACGATAGCCAAGATGACAACGGCAACGATGACTACTACAAGGGATACGATAGTCAGGATGATAATGGAAACGATGACTACTACAAGGGATACGATAGCCAAGATGACAACGGCAACGATGACTACGACAAGGGATACGCTAGCCAAGATGACAACGGTAACGATGACTACTACAAGGGATACGATAGCCAAGATGACAACGGCAACGATGACTACGACAAGGGATACGATACCCAAGATGACAACGGCAACGATGACTACTACAAGGGATACGATAGTCAGGATGATAATGGAAACGATGACTACTACAAGGGATACGATAGCCAAGATGACAACGGCAACGATGACTACTACAAGGGATACGATAGTCAAGATGACAACGGTAACGATGACTACTACAAGGGATACGACAGCCAAGATGACAACGGCAACGATGACTACGACAAGGGATACGATACCCAAGATGACAACGGCAACGATGACTACTACAAGGGATACGATAGTCAGGATGATAATGGAAACGATGACTACTACAAGGGATACGATAGCCAAGATGACAACGGCAACGATGACTACTACAAGGGATACGATAGCCAAGATGACAACGGCAACGATGACTACGACAAGGGATACGATACCCAAGATGACAACGGCAACGATGACTACTACAAGGGATACGATAGTGAGGATGATAATGGAAACGATGACTACTACAAGGGATACGATAGCCAAGATGATAACGGCAACGATGACTACGACAAGGGATACGATAGCCAAGATGACAACGGGAACGACGACTACTACAAGGGATACGATAGCCAGGATGACAGCGGCAACGATGACTACTACAAGGGATACGATAGCCAGGACGACAATGGCAACGATGACTACTACAAGGGATATGATAGCCAGGACGACAATGAAAACGATGACTACTACAAGGGATATGATAGTCAGGATGACAATGGTAACGATGACTACTACAAGGGATACGATAGCCAAGATGACAACAGCAACGATGACTATTACAAGGGATACGATAGCCAGGACGACAATGGCAACGATGACTACTACAAGGGATATGATAGCCAGAATGACAATGGCAGCGATGACTACGACAAGGGATACGATAGTCAGGATGACAATGGCAACGATGACTACTACAAGGGATACGATAGCCAGGATGATAATGGAAACGATGACTACTACAAGGGATACGATAGCCAAGATGACAACGGCAACGATGACTACTACACGGGATACGATAGCCAGGACGACAATGGCAACGACGACTACTACAATGGATATGATAGCCAGGATGACAATGGCAGCGATGACTACGACAAGGGATACGATAGTCAGGATGACAATGGCAACGATGACTACTACAAGGGATACGAGAGTCAAGATGACAACGGGAATGATGACTACTACAAGGGATACGATAGCCAGGATGATAATGGAAACGATGACTACTACAAGGGATACGATAGCCAAGATGACAACGGCAACGATGACTACTACAAGGGATACGATAGCCAGGATGATAATGGAAACGATGACTACTACAAGGGATACGATAGTCAAGATGACAACGGGAACGATGACTACTACAAGGGATACGAAAGCCAGGATGATAATGGAAACGATGACTACTACAAGGGATACGATAGCCAAGATGACAACGGCAACGATGACTACTACAAGGGATACGATAGTCAGGATGACAATGGAAACGATGACTACGACAAGGGATACGATAGCCAGGATGACAGTGGCAGCGATGACTACTACAAGGGATACGATAGCCAGGACGACAGTGGCAGCGATGACTACTACAAGGGATATGATAGCCAAGATGATAATGGCAACGATGATTACTATAAAGGACAAGATACTCAGGATGATAATGGCAGCGATGACTATTATAATGGCAGCAATGGTCTGGACGACGGTGGGGACGATGGCTTCTATGACGGCAGCAGTGACCGGATTGACGGCGGTGATGACGGGTTCGATGGCGCGTACGGCGGCTCTCAGTTCGACAGTCACGATGCCTCCGACTCCGGAATGGACGACGGCTTCCGGAGCGCGGCGGGCGGCGGCGCAGGCCTGGAGGACGGTCCCGGTGACCTGTCCTCCCAGGTGGAGGAGGTGGAGAGCGCTCCCCAGCCTGAGGAGGAGTTCCAGCAGGCAGGCCACGTGCAGACACAGCGACTGCTGCGCGGCGTCGGCAGCAGCTACGGCGGCTACGGCGACTCCTATGACGACAGTCTGAGCGGCGGATACACAGACGACTACAGCGGCGGCAGCAGCGGGTCCTTGGACGCCGGCACCAGCGACGACTACTGGGTGCCCTAGTGCGCCCACCGAACTCTAGCTCCTGTGCCAATTCTCACCCCGTGTGTGACGATATACGACGTCAGCTCTATGACGTCACTGCTGAGTGAATGCCGCGTCTTATCTGTATCGGATGGGACGCCGGATTATTGTAACTGCATCGTGAATTTGTGCAAATATACAACGCTGTGTATGTACTGTGAAAATATTTGTTTAAGGGCCATCTCACGATATCAGAAACGGAGACAAAAACACGCGCCGAAGTAGCAAATACCCTGCTGATATTCTAACGACCTTTCATGGGCATTTAAGTATATAGCCTAGATGCAATAACCAATAGCACCATGGTCTACTCGCGGACCAGTACCACGGCCACCGTACGAGGGGCAAGAGCTGTCTTTCAGCTCCCATGGTTATCTCCGAAACTACTGGGCACCACATCCAGTTCATTCAGAGCATCGCGACGAGGCAAACATCTTCAGCAGGCATCTAAAAAGGCGTGTTTTGTGTTTGGCATGCCTTATTTACATCTTTTACACACATACTGAAAAAATACAGATCAAGGTAATTCAGGGTCTGGCCACCAGGTCACTTAACCCTAACCGGATTTATCGATTTTGTATATGCGCCCCAGCCGAGAGGGGGGGAGTACCACCTCCCCTCGCCGTCCTCTAAAGACGTAGCGACTGGCACCTGATTCCGCGCATGACTGGGGTATTTTCCATAACGCGAGTGAGGGGGGGGGGCTCTCCAAAGCGCCCCTCCTATCTCCAAAACTACTGGGCTGATCGTCAAAATTCAAACAAAAAACAAAAAAAGATGCCTTTCAGATGCAATTTGAGCTCAGGAGCACAATGGTGCCATTTATATTGCTGTGCGATGTCAAAAACGTACTGAAAAATGGTTTTGAAAAATATATAATGGTGAAATTTTGACAAATGCTAATAACTTGGCTATTTTTGAAGACATTAGGTTAAAACTTGCTAGAAAAGTTTATCCGCGTGTGTTCAATCACATATACCGGTTTTTGCGAAAAACAAAACAAAAAATGTTTGAAAAAAAAAATCAGAAAATATATTTTTGTAATTGTAAAAACAAAGTTTTCAAAATTTTCAACATATCGAAATTTCGAGATAGCAGTTTGATAGCTACGTGTATTTGTAGTCCACTGATGCAAATAAATAGGATCTAGCTTTAACCCTATTAGTGGCAGGGGGTTGTTTTTATCCACCCCTCAGGTTTTTCGAAAATATCTCCGAAACCGCTGAAGCTACGATGCTGAAATTTTCTGACTATTCCTAAAACTAAATTGGGCACATTCCCTGAAAATTTCAAGTTCATAACTTTACCAGGGGCGGCTTCATAGCACTGGGAATTGGGAGGTCCTATTCGTGAAGCGAGTCATTTGGGCGAAGATCACGATGCTGATGTATTATAACTGTATGCACCAGTTTTACGAACAGTGAATGAAAGGTATCATGTGATAACATATACAAAGTTGTTGTGCATCCTCTTTTGACACGTTTTTGCTATAATAGGCGGATCCAGGCGTCCAAAAAGGGGGGTTATGTTTTACCTCCCAACATAGGTGCCCTGACACCGCCTATGCATGACCAATACAATTTTAGTCGTTCTCTCATAAGAAAATTGTAACATAACAAGACCATTGCCACCCTTTTTAGAAACAGTACCAACAAAAACCTTATTTACTATACTTTTTGTGTACCCCCAATCTCAATGATCTGTATCCGCCTATGATTTTTGAAAATGCATATTTTTAGGATCCATGTGAATTCCTGGTTCATTCTCTATCGATCGGCAAAAGTTGCGTTAAGATTGGTTCAGAAACCCGACCGTGATAAACAGTCTAAAATGTATCTGCAATTTGCCCGTTTTTACCCCCCTCTACCCCCCTATTGACATTTTATAATTTTTAATTTTTTTAGAAATGTAGATCATGTTGAGCGAAATCGAATGCCGTTTGAATTTTGAAAATCGGCCCGTTAGATCTCGAGATATCAAGGGGGGTCGTAAACAGCCCCCCTGCCACTAATAGGGGTAGCCAGGAGCCTGCCACTAATAGGGTTAACCCTCGCCCGCACATGCCATTTTCCCATCCTAGAACGCACATGGGGGGGGGGTTGCCACCCCCCCCCCGCGCCATTTCGTTCCTGTTGGAGACAGAGCTTAGCGGTAATGACCAAAAACATTCTTTGGGAAGAGACGAATCCAATTATACCCAGTTTTACCTTCTCAGGTCAGTCATTAACCTTCCAGGTCAGGTCAAACTAAAAAATGTTGCTGTTTTGGGTCACCGCTGGATATCAAGTGCGCTGCTTATCAAATACCGATGACGATGCTGTTTTCTGGTGCCAATCCAGCTAGAACCTCTTTGTCACACTACCCGACCAGATTTTTGCTGCTGAGGTCATTTCAGGTCAAGTTAGGTCAAGATCAATTATATGTGTTTGTATGTCTGTGTGTGTCTGTGTGTATACTGATGTGTGCACCGATTGTTTTTGGGTCCATATTACATGAAATCATGATCTGAGAAGCTTTTACCAAAAATGCAGTCAAAAAACTTCACAAAAAGTCAATTCAGCTTGCCTAAAACGCAGTTATCTTAGATGACCTAGGTTGACCTTGACCCTGACCTTGACCCCTGTACATCGTCGAACAACAATTCCATGATAGGCGGGAGGTAAGACTGGCAAAAAAAGGCCGAAATCAGGGTGTCAAAAGCTCACAAGGCCCATGGCAAACGCAAGATGTTGAGGGCCATTTGGGTCATGACATGGCCTGAAAAACAAGGTCATATCTCCGAAACCAAAAGTCACAGAAACTTGAAATTTTCAGTGGACATCAAAAAAGAATAGAGCAGCAGCTATACGAAAAATCAGCTTCCTAGCTCTAACAATGTTGAGTGCAGAGCAGAAAAACTACCTGGGGGGTGGCAACCACCCCCCCCCCCCCTCATGTGCGGGCGAGGGTTAAAACTAAGCTCTTGAGAGCGTTTGCCGTAATTCAATATTTTGCATCAAAATCGGCCGACATGACGTCACTCTGACGTTATTGTCGGCCAAACTATGGTAGCTAGAAAATGGAAATTTTAACCCTATTAGTGGCAGGGGGGTTGTTTTTATCCACCCCTCAGGTTTTTCGGGAATATCTCCGAAACCGCTGAAGCTACGATGCTGAAATTTTCTGACTTTTCCTAAAACTAAATTGGGCACATTCCCTGAAAATTTCAAGTTCATAACTTAACCAGGGGCGGCTCCAGAGCACTGGGAATTGGGGGTCCTATTCGTGAAGCGAGTCATTTGGGCGAAGATCACGATGCTGCACCAGTTTTACGAACAGTGAATGAAAGGTATCATGTGATAACATATACAAAGTTATTGTGCATCCTCTTTTGACACGTTTTTGCTATAATAGGCGGATCCAGGCGTCCAAAAAGGGGGGTTATTTTTTACCTCCCAACATAGGTGCCCTGACACCGCCTATAAATGACCAATACAATTTTAGTCGTTCTCTCATAAGAAAATTGTAACATAACAAGACCATTGCCACCCTTTTTAGAAACAGGACCAACAAAAACCTTATTTACTATACTTTTTGTGTACCCCCAATCTCAATGATCTGTATCCGCCTATGATTTTTGAAAATGCATATTTTTAGGATCCATGTGAATTCCTGGTTCATTCTCTATCGATCGGCAAAAGTTGCGTTAAGATTGGTTCAGAAACCTGGCCGTGATAAACAGTCTAAAATGTATCTGCAATTTGCCCGTTTTTACCCCCCTCTACCCCCCTATTGACATTTTTTAATTTTATTTTTTTTTAGAAATGTAGATCTCGTTGAGCCAAATCGAATGCCGTTTGAATTTTGAAAATCGGCCGGTTAGATCTCGAGATATCAAGGGGGGGTCGTAAACAGCCCCCCCCCCCCTGCCACTAATATGGGGTAGCCAGGAGCCTGCCACTAATAGGGTTAACCCACGCCCCGCTGGGGGTCCTGGATTTCCACGCCCTGCTGGGGGGGGGGTGTTTGAACACCCCCCCTTCTAACTCGGCTCCTGGGCCACGTAGCGATACGCGGAAGGCGGCGTTCGAAAGAGCGTCAAAAATAATGAGGACATCACTTTGGTCAATTTTTTGGTCAGGTCAAAGGTCAGGTCACCAGAGGTCATTAACCCGCGCGGGGCTGGGGGGGGGTAAATTTTACCCCCCCTCGCGAATTTTTGCGATATCTCAAAAACGGCGGCGCGCAGCGCCGCCAAACTTTCAGTACCTTTTCTTACATCAATTTGACACGTTCCCTGAAAATTTGAGCGAAATCCGTCGGAAAATTTTTTAGAAATTGACGTTTTAGTGACGTCATGTTCGCCATTTTCGCCTCAAAAACGGCAAAAGTTCAAACGCCGCTAACATCTTCATTTTTAAAGGAATCAAGACGTAACAAAAAAGGTTATACGTAATTTTACTTTGTCTATCAAATGGCTATCTCGATTTTTTGAAAATTTTGGATTTTGGCCTAATTTTTTTCAAAAAACTGACTTTTTTGGGAAAATCATTATAAAATCCAAAATTTTGAGTCTATCGAAAAAACCGGAATATATGTCAGAGAAGTGGTCTATGTGCACCTACATACCAAATTTTAGAAGAATCGGTTCAAAAATGTGGGAGTTATTCAAAATTTTATGACGTCACGACACACAATTTTTTTTGAAAAATGACTTTTTTGGAAGTTCTAGACCTCGTACGGAAACAAAAATAGCACCATTCGATTCGCCGTGAAAAACTGCATCAGATAGACACCTTTTTAGGCCTTGACAACCAACTTCAAAATTTGACCTCACTTGACCTGACCTTGACCTGACCTCGACCTGAAATCCATCCAGAGGTGGTCCATATCACTTATTGAGTGTGCCTATTGAATTCTATGAGTAAAATGACCCATAAAACATGTGTCGCACATGCCCTTTTCTATATTTTGTTTTTTGGTGACCTGACCTGACCTGACCTGACCTTGACCTTGACCTTTGAATGATATAGTATGCAACGAATATTGTCTTGGTAGCCTAAAAACACGTTTTGGGCGATCAGTCTCAGTCCATGACTCCATTCTTCGGCAACTACGGTGCAAGACCGATACTGTAGAAACTTGCAATTTGTACCCTTG